ATCCCATCATCACCCGGGCCTGCGTGGTGTGAACTCATCAACCATTCCAATGGGCTGACACGGCAAACCATCACATACACAGCTCTCTTACTGCACTCCTTTTCTCTGCAGCTTCACACACACCAGAGGAGGAAAATAGTAATCAAGATGTACTCTTGTTACACGTTGAGTACTGCTACTTTTCTACTCATCTTTCTGCTTGTATTTTCCTTTTTAGGCATTAACACCTACAGAAGGCTTACCAGAGAGAGGCAGAGCTAAAGATGAATGAGATTTGTTACAGTGAAGCTCAGGACCTCATCAAGAAGACAATATAATTACACGGTTACAATTTTTGGATATTCACAAAACCTGAAATTAACTAAAAATTTGCACTTTTTATGGAGCTACAGTGAAACTCAAATATTTCCCGCACTCTGTAAAGCTTTGCATAAACTTGCAATGATTTTTTTTGTCTTTGTTTATAAGAATTCAAAACTCTTTCCGCTTCTGCCTCAACAGAAAAAGTGCAAGGATTAGACATTTACTTTATTGCAAAACCACTTCCATTTAGTGTGGCTGAAATGATGGAAAATAACACAAAAATGTGCAAATCCCACTTTTTGTCATCAGTGCTTCTTGCGTGTATTTCCTGTGTTATCGTCAAAGTTGAGGCAGTAGTTGCTTTATAGTCTGGCCAGGATATCTAGTCACATGGTACTCATCCACAGACTGTAGTTGATGCCTATTGTGTTTGACATGCGTTGATTGCTAGACAGCTGGTGTGGAAGAGGAACTTGCCCCAAGCATCTGAGTAGCCTATTTAGTACATAATTTTGGTTTTCATATTCTCTTTAATATGATGTCTGTCTGGGCTTGTGCAGCGAAATCTACAGTGAGAGTTACCAAAATGATCTCCATGATAAATCTGTGACAAGCTAAAGTTTGGTTCACATGCCGCTCAGCAGTGAAAAATCTTGCATTGACAAAATGGAGTCCATATATCTCTGTGTGTCTCTTTCTCTCTGGGTTCCTTCCTAACGATCTTGCTGGCTCCATTAGCTGATGTTTGGACACCTGTAGGGGCTCGGGACTCGACGAGGAGGGCTGTCAACGAGAGGCTTTGGTAAATCGAGAGATTATCCAAACAGTGGGACACTAGCTAATAAAAACAAGCCCCCCGTTCACTGCATTAGCACTGCATTAGTGCAGAGGGTACGGAGAATGGGGACCCGGGGGTCTGAGTGATGCACAGTCCAAAGCTGTTAAAGGGATCTTCTGTAAATTATTAGTGATTTATTACTGACTGTATTTATTAGATTAGTTATTGGAGTGTTTCCTTGTTTGAGGAAGGCGAGGAGGGGTGTACAGCGTGAGGCAGAGATATTTGTAAGACTGGAAAGCCAAAAATGTAAATATTATAATAAAAATATCATATAATTTTATATATTCAGGAAAAGCTTACTTAATCAAATTGTTAATTAGCTGATTAATGAGGAGTAGTGTAAAAAGCACGCTGTAAATATAGTTACAGTGAAGGAACTCACAATTTACATCGTATCTATGTATTTTAAACAACTTAATTCACGTTAATGCTTGTAGTCTGAAAAGGGTAAGTCATATTCTAACTCAGTTTCTTGCAAAATAGATTAATAGATACCCCTGGATCATATATTTTGCAAATTAGCAGAACCAAAAAAAAATTTAAGTGAAACAGCTTTAGACGGTGTTCTTGTCTAAGTACGAAATATCTATATTGTATTGATGCATGAGGTGTTTTATCCACCCAAACATATCTCATTACAAATGCAGAAAAAAATCACCAGCAAGTGACAAAGTAATAATTAGGAAGCAGCTTGTTATACAGTGGGCCGAGGTTTCAATGTGTGTGCTGCTGGTATGCAGGGCCAGAGAATACAGTAAGCACAGTATATTCTCTGCCGCTGTACAGCAGCCTCACTCAGGGTGTGTACGCCGGTCATGGGCATAAACCTCAATTTCTGGCCATGACATTTATTAAGTCCTACAAATATGACAGCTGCTTGGTTTTTTTTTCTCAAGGCACGGAAAATGAAATCATCTAATTTCCTTCACACAACCTTGGGTTTTTTGTGAAGTTTCTCAGGGTGAATTAAGGGAAAGGTTTCAATGCATTAAATCATTTATTTACACAGTAAAATGCCTCCTTTTCCACCAGTGACCAACACAGCGTAGGTGCCTTAACACACTGTAATCCATTTATACAGTCGGTTAATATATGGGCAAGGGGTTAAGGGTTTAATTTAAAGCAAATTAGATTGACTAAAATAAATCTGCTTCATGTTTCTGACTAATACATATGCAGAGCTCTCACTGTCCTTGTGTTTAAGTTATATACATTTTCAGAGCTAGTATGTCATATAAAATGTCTAAGAAATAAACGCATTACATAAATGTATTCATTTGTTTATTTAAAGATTTGCAAATAATAACTTTGCATATATTGTATGAGCGGTTTTAATGCCAATAAAGCGAGACAGCATAATGCCATTAGGGTATAATAGCTGGTCTCTGAGGTGGTAAGGACACTGCTGGCAATAACACTCGGAGAGAGGGAATTTGCCTTTTATTAAAAACTGCTTTGGTGACTGGGAGTAAATTCATTATCTGACTCTATTAGCTCAGCAGAGTGGGAATAAACTACGGAGGAGGTATCACAGAATGCCTCAGGCAAATATGTTTGTGCGTTCGGTGTTTGTGTGTGTCATGTTTTTGTTATCAGGGCTCATAAACAACAGAGAGTCTCTTTAGATTGACTGCTATCAGTTTCCTCAGCAGTGGCTTTCACCTTTTTAAAACCAGAGATGATGACAGTAAGATTGTCCTTCAAGGCAGATTTATGGTAATAAAATGCAAAGAAAACTGATACATCTGACGTTTTTATAAATAACCTTTTTTTTAGCCCTTTAACAAATAAGTTTAAAAAACAAAAAAAGTTATAAACTTTGAAGACCGAAACGTATCGGCTTGATAGTGGCGGGTGATACTAAAATATGTGTGTGTGTCTTGTCTTTTGTGTTGTCTACAATTACACATACCATATGTTCAGACACACACACTTGCGTATACCGTGTGGCCCTTAGCGATCATTTATCATAAATACATATACAGTCATTTATATCAGGGGAAACAGGCAATCCTCGGCTCATCTTCTCCATCCTCCCATCCTGCTTGGATTTACAGCACAGAGCCCATTTCAGCCCCTGTACGTCCACTTATCTCCCACCACTTCACCCAGTATTCAGCCTCTACCAGCCTGTTTCTCCTTATAGCCCATAATAATCCCCCAAAAAGCCTCTCCAGGTCTTCGTTTCCCAACTCTCACAGTGCAGAAACACAATGGCAGCTCAGCAAGAACTACAGGCAAGCAGAGGAGATCAGTCAGTTTGATGAATGCATACACATCTGTGGGAGATTTCCTCTGTAGATAAAATGAACACTTACTGGTTTTTAGATTTTTTTTCTTCCCTATTTCTCCCCACGGCTGCAAGTTAAATATGTATCTGAAAGACTACTTTTGCGACAGTGTTGGACTGCATTGTTTAAGAAAGAAACAATGTTGAACTTAATAAACACTAACAAAGATATTAAGTCAATACTGATGTCTAAAGTACACATCTCATCTTTATACAGTCAAGCTCCGAGTAAATGCTAACAATCCACAGTATATGTAAACTAAAAGGCTACGCCTTTAACAAAATGAGTTTGTTTTGTTACAGCATTCACTGCCACAGAGAAGAGACACCCAACCATTTAATAACAGACAGCACAATGCAATCATTGTCTCTAAAAGTTGTGCCAGTCACAACCCAGATACACGAACAAGACATTATGATGCTTAATTTGACCTCATCAACTATGCTCCTTTTCCCATTTTTTCCCCCTTTAAACGTGACTGCGCTGAGGTGTGGAGAATGGAGGAGAACAATTTGTTGGTGTGGCAGTGACAGTGGAGGTGGAAGCCTACAGGGGTTTAGGGACCAGACTATGTGGGCGTATCAGGTTGCTGTATTGACCTGAGGTCTGGCTGAGTTGTAAGAGAGAGCTCAGAATGAGAAGGAAATCTATAAAATGAAGAAAACTTGTGTGTGTTAGGACATAGAGTATTAAAAGAATGTGAAAAATATTTGAAAATTATTCTTTATATACAAGTCATTAAATCATGAGGAAAGCATATTGATATGCAAAACAAAAAAGGACTGATATCAGTATTTACTGTAATAAAACATGGAGCAATTGCGCACAGTGCAGCTTTTTAAAAAGCAGTGGAGTAACAACAGCCCATCAAACATCAGCAGAACTTTATGGTAGCATCTCCTTGAGGCCAAAATAGAAATAAATACCCAACAATTCTCAGATTATGGTGTCTCATTACTAACTATAAAACATCACGTTTAAACTATCAGAAATACTTCCGCATTATGAAATAGAGCTCTTTGTTTGTGTTCCAACTGTTTAAAATTTCCATCGCATAAAGGGAAGTTATAGTTAAATGAGACAGTTCAGCCTAAATATCCGGCAGGTAAACTCGCTGGTTCATGTCAAAAGTTCATAATTATTCTGAGGTCAATAAAATGTTAGTTATATGGTCGCAATGACATGAGCAATATAAAAGTCTTAGATCATATAAAAGAAATATCCTGCTCAGTATGTAAGGGATTAAACGTAAAAATATTACAATTGCCGAAATGAATTCCATTTGCTTTGAGTGATTATCTCATATAAGTTATGTTTGATACATTTATGGTAGTGTGCCTGGTCCTCTATATTTCTGCATTCATTCTTACAACACTGAAAAACTTGGCTACTGAAAAAATGCTCACCCAGGATTAGGTCACACAATTCAACATCTATCCTGTAAATAAATGATCATGTAAGATTTTGAATGCTGTGAAACATTTACACGACTGTGTAATGGCGTAAAAATCTGTCTTTTATAATGTACATTCAAACTCACACAGACACACTTCTTTTGATTGCAG